GGCCAAGCAGCAGAGATGGAGTAATGTTTACTCTGAGAGTCAACATGTAGGCTTGGATTGATGCAGACTGTGTAAAGTTGATGTGTTTTAGTGGAAACTGTAAGAAACCTTTAGAGACTCACTCATCTTCCAAAGTAGCAGTTGTTAGGAACAGATGTAACATTTCATGTGCTTGTTTTGTCTTTCTGACACAATTCTGCTAAAAAAAAAAGGTTACGCAACATTAAAGGAGGAGAAAATCCAAACATTGACTCAATTAAGATTCCTAGTTTCATCGCAAGAAGCGGGTTTCACTTTAATCCAGTTCTATGGTGAACATTATGCCTTTAAATTCAGTTTTTTTTCTGTCTTGTTGTGCTTTGCTGTCATTTTTTTCTAATTTATGAACTCAAAAAGGTCAAGGTGAATTTTATAAACATCTCATTTGATATATAGCTTGAACGATTGCAGGCACATAAAACATCAGACCAGTGTTTAGAAAGGCCAGGCTCCGGTGATTTACTAGTTTAATAATGTTACATGGCTCCGGATGGCCTGCTCATGAGGAGCTTGGTCTACTCTGCAGTTATTCATTACCCAAGGGTGATCAGTGTGCTATAGGGCACCACAACAGCAGCTAGAACAGGTAATCTCCTGCTATTTGTTTATGTCTGCGCAAGCTTCCCTGTGCCACTCCTTTAATCCCGACCTTACGCTGGCAAAAACCTTTCCAGATATATTTGATTATCTTAGGATCTTTTATTTTACTATTTAAACATGTTAAATGTGCAAAACCGTGTTATTTTACTGTACTTTGCATGGGAGTTCAAGCTGGCTGAACATAAAACGTTGCGTGCTTGCAGTTGATGCAGGGCATGATGGTTACCCAAGACTCAGCTGGGTGATATTTGATAAGTGCACTATACGTCATAGCACCTGAAACGTACACACAATAACACCTCAGAGTCGCCCGATAACCGGGGATCGGAGGAATTCCAGCGCTGCAGCCCGAGATATTATAAACCCACGTGAGAGAAAAGTGCAAGCTCTTTATCTTCTTGATGCAAAAGTGCATACAAAATGCTAAAAATAAACCAAAAGTGTTATGATTCCAGGAAAGCCCCTCAGCTTAGTTTAACAACTCTACTTCAGAGCAGCATAAAGCTGATTGCCTGGGAAAAGTGGATTTTTTTTTTTTTACTTTTCCCTATCAGGGTGTTTTCTCTTTAAAGGAAACATCTCTGTGCTGTGACAAAGAGAAGTTTCCATGGCTGTCCTTGCTAAGACTGGTTTGTCTTATCTGTGGCCTTCAGGCAGAAAAACGGGGGTTACACTTGATAAAGCATTCAAGCTGAGAAGTCTAGGGGATGTGTTTATGATCGACATTGAACTGTCATCTCTGTAAACAACTCGGGGTCAAGGAGTCAAGAAGGGCAGCACACGGTAAACGAGTGTATTTGTAGCCCCGGTAAACAGCTTCCTGTGCAGCCGTAGTAGTTACAGCCAGAGTCATGGTGCAGAACTGAAGTGTGACGTAGTAGTTCTGAGCATGTTGTTGATCAAAACTGGAAGCAGAAGTTACATTTCGCTAGAAATGATTTACTCAGTCAGTTAATCAAGTTTCCAGAGAATAAAAAGGCTCAGAAATTCACCTGCTTTTRGCACTGGAACCACATCAGCTCACTGTGGTGCTACATTTGGCTGCCTAATGTGTAATTACCCAGTTTACGCTAAAGATACCCTTAAATTATCTTAGACTCTCATGTTTTGCTCTAACATTTCTTTTTTTTGTCTGAGGATGGGGAAAAAAAACTCAAACACCGTTGGCCGCAGAACACGCAGCACTCAATTCCTAACACAAACACACTCCAGTTATTCTTGGAGGAATGCCCTCGCACCACAAATAATCGTCCAGTTTGCAGGATCAGTGACGAATTACTGACGCATGTTTGAGGTTTACAGCCTCATTTAAAGGCTGCGGCCTGGTGGTAAACTCACACACTGTCAACTCCTCTTATGGGAAGACATCGTGGGACACCGCGTGGGATTTTCTACAAACTGCTCAGATTGAACTGACATTTTAAATGCTTGTCACTTTAGAAGAGTTGTTACCGGGAGCTACTCTGTACCCTGACGTTTTTACAGGTGTTACCTGACAGTTCTCTTTAACTGGAGTTCTAAAACCTTACTTTAGGTTTCTTCAAAGCAGCTTCTGAAAATGGAATTCATGACTTACTGTTTCCGATATAAAAGTTCATAAGTTTCCTTAAAAATATTAGTCATCGAACAACTTTACAAAAGGGAAGGAAAGCTGTTTTTAGAAGTCGTGATTCAGTCTGGAAGTATCAGTGTGTGTGGCAACATGTTCCAGCACTTCTACACTGACTTCAATGCCAGAAACATTTTTGAAAACGGTGAATGTGTGCTTATAGGAACGTTTGTGACAACATTCTGGTTTGTTAAGTTGTTCATCTGTAAAGTGATCTGACCACATGAGAAGCTATCAGATGCTTCCAGGCCACATGTTAGTTGTTAAAAAGTACTTGGAGTTGTTCATTTGAATGTACCAGCAAGAATTATTTAATGAGTGGTAGGCTAAACAAATGAGGAACAAATGAGGTTAGTGTATCAAAAGTAAAAAAAAGTTTCCTCTATTGTTTCTCCCCTCCTCCCTCATTTCTTTTTTTTTGTCCTTCCTGCATCACTTTTCTTGGCCGACCATCATCAGGGTTTTAGAAAACAAGAGTTTCTGTGAGGTTTAACTTATAAAGAGCTTTTAAAAAAAGAATAAGTTCCTTCTCCGCATGTTTGGGTTAATTTATCTCTGTTTTGGGTTAAAAACTATTCTAACCAGAATCTGTACTCCTTCTTAGACCAGAGTTGGGATGTTTGTGACGCTAATGTCATTCTTTTCCTTGTGAGTTGTTTATGTGCACCAGTCCAAGTGGAGAAATAAAATAAAGCAGGGCTTTGGAAATAGTTTATCCTTCATCTATGTTTATAGAAAAAAAGTAATCTGTTTTGTCAAGCAATATTTTGCGTTATATCACTGGTTTGTTTAGCATTTTGGGGATTAACGGGGACAGAACCAACCCAGAGCGCGAAGGTCTCATGTTCAGCAGATTTTCGTTCAAAATATCAGGTCTGTTTTTCACCTGCCTTATACTTCCATCTAGTCTGGAAAGAGTTTTGATTTGATGCTGGAGTTAGTCAACATGTAAGACAATTAGATCTATCTTTTTTGACTAACATAAACTGTAATTAGAAGATGAGTAGCCAGTGTGTCTGAGCATAGATAGGTAGATGCATTGGTAGGTAGATGTGTTGGTAGGTAGGTTGGGTAGGTAGGTAGGTAGGTAGGTAGATGGGTGTGTTGGTAGGTAGGTAGGTAGGTAGGTAGGTAGGTAGGTAGGTAGGTAGGTAGGTAGGTAGGTAGGTAGGTAGGTAGGTAGGTAGGTACTGTATATATGGGTGGGTAGATGGGTAGATATTGGATAGGTAGGTAGGTAGGTATGGGTGTGTTGGTAGGTAGGTAGATAGATAGGTAGATGGGTGTGTAGCTAGGTAGGTAGATAGGTAGATGGGTGTGTAGGTAGGTAGGTAGGTAGGTATGGGTGGGTAGATGGGTAGATATGGATAGGTAGGTAGGTAGGTAGGTAGGTAGGTAGGTAGGTAGGTAGGTAGGTAGGTAGGTAGGTAGGTAGGTAGGTAGGTAGGTAGGTACTTC